TACCAGCTGAAAGGGAGTCAAGACAGAAAAGAGGAATTCTAGAGTTGGGATCTCAAGATGCTTTATTAGCTCAAAATAAGCTCTTGTCCCAGCAAATTGAGGCTCTTACCAAGCAAGTTGCTCGGATTCCACAACAACTACAATCCACTCAACATCAAGTTCTAAGTTGTGATCTTTGTGGGTTGAATCATCCTCACGGGCAGTGCATTGATACTTTCCCATCTCATGGAGAAGAGGTGAATTACATGGGGAATCAAGCTCGACAAGGAGGAAATTATGGTGGTAATTATGGGAAGAATTGGCAATCACACCCTAGCACAGGGTGGAACCAGAATGATATTGTTCAGTCTAGTAGACCTCCTATGCAAATTCTCAACTTGTATGAACGACAATCTAAATTTGAAGAAACATTGAATCAATTCATGCAGGTCTCAATCTCTAACCACAATAATACTGAAGCATCTATAAAGAATTTGGAGATTCAAATGGGGTAGCTGGCCAAACAATTGGCTGAAAATTATGGTGGAAAATTTTCAGCCAATACTCATACTAATCCAAAGGAGAATTGTAGTGCAATTACAACAAGAGGTGGTAAGAGAGTAGGTGTGTTCGAGGATGAGGAAGAGCAACAAGAAAAAGAGGAAGAAATGAGAGAGAGATGGAGAAAATAATCGAAAAAATAAAAAAATAGAAAATGCAAAAGAGAATGTCATGGAGGGAAAATAGTTGGCTGAGGAAGTTGTTGTTAAAAAATCAAAGAGCCAGCTAGCAAGAGAATTGAAGATGAAACCCAAGGTGTCTAGTACCAAGGATATGCCATATCCCCCAGCCCCAAGCAAAAAGGATAAAGAGAAGCAATTTGCACGTTTCATGGAGCTTTTTAAGAAGCTTCAGATCAACATTCCATTCTTAGAGGCATTGGAGCAGATGCCCACTTATGCAAAATTCATGAAAGACCTCTTGACAAAGAAGAGAAAGTTCATTGAGCAGGAGACTATTGAGTTGGAAGTGGGGTGTAGTGCCATAATTCAAAAGAACTTACCTCCCAAGTTCAAGGACCCTGGAAGCTTTACAATTCCAATCACTATTGGGGACCTATTAGTTGGAAGAGCACTGCTAGACTTGGGTGCAAGCATTAATCTCATGCCCTTATCTATGTTAGATAGAGTTGGACAGGTGGTAGTAAAACCAACCCGCATGACTTTGCAACTAGCAGACCGGTCCATCAAGTATCCCTATGGTGTCATTGAAAACATGCTAGTCAAAGTTGACAAATTCACATTTCTAGTTGATTTTGTGGTTATGGATATGGAAGAAGACTCTGTTATTCCTATTATCTTGAGGAGGCCATTTATGAAGATTGCACGAGCAATCATTGATGTTGGGGATGGTGAATTAAAATTGAGGGTCCATGATGAGGTGATCACTTTTAATGTATTTGAAGCTATGACCCATCCGAATGATAAAGGTGCTTGTTTCCGAATGGATGTGCTAGATGAGGTAGTGTGTGAGGCTACAAAGAAGCTGAAAAAATCAGTTCCAGATGATGTACAGATTCATAAGCTAGGTGCTATTTCAATCCTGGTCACTTTTGCTGAATTTGTTGTTCATACAACAGACTTGTCTCAGTTTGATACTGTTGTTCAAAATGACTTCCAACTCTTATTAATTAGTAGATAGTGGTTTTGATTGGCAAGAAGAAAGTCAACCTGTCCAGCCAGGTGTTCACAAGGGTCAGAAAAAGAAGAAGAAACAATCCGTAGATGATTTGGTGCCTAGAACTTGTTCTAGAATGGCTAAGTCCACCAAATTTTCTTGATGGATTTTCTATGGTTTTTTAGGCTTCCTGCTGCATTTATTCTTGGTTCAGTTGCAATTTATTTTTTCTTTTGCAGCATTGTTCCTGCTGTAGTCCCTATTTTGGATGGAGAATTTGGCAGTCTGAACCTATATTGGTTTTGCTACTAGGTAGAATTTGGTGTAGATCCTAGCTGTTTTGGTTCCCCTTCGTCTTAATTAAAAAATGTGAGAATTATTAAAAGAGAGGTAATGCATATATAACACATTCTTTGTGACAATTTTTTTATTGATTGAAATTTAGAATTTATTTTTTATGCACTAATATTGTCAACCAAAAATGCATTATAGTAGATATGACTTTTAAATAATTTATATAAAAATTAATAAACTTATCATATAAGACATTTTTTTATTGAACTACAATGTACAAGTTTTTTATCCATTATTTGTGCATAAACTATTTTTTAAAAATTTACTGAAAATTATAAAATCATGAGTGAACATGAAATAAGAAGCAAAACCTACCAAATGTGTGATTTTTTATATAAATTTTTAACAATAAAAAAAATGCTAAAAATGTATTAAAAAAAATACATTCTTATCACTTATTTTATTATAAAATGTGTTTGTTTATTTATAATTTCATGATCCTTCATATATCTCCCATTTTGAATAGTCTAGTTGAATTTGCAATGAACTTGAACTAGCCGAACAATCTCGCCAATTTATTATATTAAATTAAGAGTAATGATTAGAGAGAATCATCGATATCATATCTTTGTGAAAAATACATTAAAGAACAACACATTAAAAATGATATTCCTACTTAATTAATGTCATGCACAATCACAAAAATACATCTACAAATATTATGAAAAATCATTTCCTAAAATTATGTAACATGATCTTGAAGATTATCGATCATCTATATATATAGAACACCACTAAATATATATTATTCAAATCTTGATCATCTCACTCTTGACTTAAATTTTTCTATAACTTGAATATGGAAAAGTCTTTACGGATGTTTTTACCATCACAAATATTATGACAATAAAGAAACTATTTTTCCTATTAAAATACCTGTAAATTTTGATAAAAACACTTCAAAAGACTTCTTTTATCACTAAGACTTCCACTTCATTCTATATCTAAATGGTGCATACTCACCTATGGCATTCCTTGTGAACTTCTTGTCTCTGCAATACTTTTCCTTGTTGCCATTCACAGGCATTATTTCCTTTATATAATTTAATTTATTAATAAATATTAAAAATTTGCCTCTATATAATAATTTTGTCCTTTTTCGGCACTATGCCGCATTTTTAATTTTCAGAAATTTTGATTCAGAGAGTAGAATTGAGAATTGAAAAGTATTGATTTTAGTTATACTTATAATTCAACGAAAGTGGGCCAAGAATTGGGATTCCAATTTAAGAAGATTAACTTTTAAATATTATAATTATAATTTACATATTTAATTTTTTATTTTTACATATCATTAGATTTTTCATAAAAGATAATCATAACTTGAAATCGGAACTATTTATTAAAGTTAAATTTCACATGCCAGACATGTTGATCACATTTAGCGTTTACCTTTTTTTTTCCTAATTAATATTTTTTCTAACAAGTACTCGTCATCATATGTTAAGAAATATTAAATATACTTTGTTAAATACTTCCGATCACTTAGAGAATTTTTTTTCCCTACACAAGAACATATATGGTACAAAAATATTAAAGAATAATGTTAAATACTTCCGATCACTTAGAGAATTTGTTGAAAATTATTTTTGAATCCATTTCTCTCTATCTAATCATTTATTACATTATAAATCTCTCTCTGTCTCTCTTCTCTCTATTGTAGAAGTGTTCGTACATCTATATCATTTTTCAAAGATTAGATATATTAAACTTATTTAAAGTTATTAATTAATAGTATAAAAATGACATTTTTACATAAAGAATTATATCAGTTCTTGCAAAAATAATATATATATATATATTACTAGTATCAAAGTTATTACTAATAAGGTAATGACATTTTTATAATATTGAGATAAATATTCTAGATTAATTTATATATAATTGATATAAAAAAAAACACACTCTCTTCATCGATTGCATTAAGAATTGATCTAGAAAATAATTTTTAAATGGTCCGTTTTGCATATAATGTAAAAGATGTGTGATCAAGAAAAGTTTTATTCTGGTTCTCTGATGAACATCAAAATGTTTTAATTAGCTCAAGGATGAGTTCTATACTACCAATTATGAAGTCAAAGTTAAGACATTTTTGTCATCCTTATTGTTCATCAAAATCATTTACAGACAATGCTTATTTTACAAATAGAAAATATTCTATTAAAACATCGTTTATTAATAAAGAATACTTTTAAAACAACGCATCTATCTAATAACATGGAGATAGACATTTTATATCGAGTGTTTTTTATTTTCTAATGCATAGATCACATTTTTTTAATAAATTTTTATCTTGATATCATACAATAGAAAGTGTTTGGTCGTAGAAGAAATACTTTCTATATTCTAATGAATAGATAGTGTTTTTTATTTTTTACAATCTTGTTTACTTTTTTTTTAGTTCATTCACAATTTTTTTATAGTGTTATACATGAAAAAATAATTCAAAAGAAAAAATTGTAACAATAGTCAAAAGTATTATCGAATGTAATTCATAAAAGATATAATGTGCACATTAGATAAGTAGTAGCAAAATTAAATGAGAAAGAATAATATTATTATTATTGACTTATATCTGCCTACCTTCTTAATTAGTTGTTGTTGACTATTAAACTTATTTAATTCTAATTAGGGTAATTTTTCGAGGTGAGGAACAAAATCAGTGATAATTTACCTATGCAACTTGTTCTATACTCGAACTTGGCCCTATTCCAAGCACATACTCAACCTAAATCTGGGAGAGTCTCATTAGAAACACTATATTTGTTTTTGGATTATTTGGGAAGGAATTAATTAATGAGTATGGAATAGTGTAATGAATAAAAGAAGATAGAAATTAGAACGTTTGGTGATTTGGTTGGCATAGAAATTAAAAGGAGAAAGAACAAGTCACACTAGAATTTGTTTTCCTTCGCCACACCATGAAATGAAACAAAAATGACCAATCTTACAAACAATGAGCAGTATAGTATTAGTTTTATAGATCCTATATATGCTTTTCCAAAAATTTAAATATTATATAAAAATAAATATTATTTTCATTTAGAGAAAAACTAATATAGTAGAAATTTAGATATCTTTATTTATTTATTTCTTAAATAAATATTTTTATAATATAATTTTTCAAAGAATAATAAATAATTATTGTTAGATAAAATAATGGAATAAAAAATTATTAATATAAAAAAATTTCATATAATTTATTTATTTCCCTGTATTTTATATTTTTATTCATCTGAATAATAATTTCTGTAGCTGTTTGATTATATTTTTAATCGAAACAAAACATATGGGAGAACAGGACCTGGAGCACGGAAGTATCACAGAATCAGCGAACGATATTCTCCATAAACACGACCAAAGGCACAGAAGTGAAGCGTAGGGGAAAAGATCTTCGGATCATATTCATAGCTAACATATATATGCCTGAACCATATATATTCAAATTTAATTTAGATATATATGACACAAAAGCACAAAACAAAGACTCTGCTGGGGTCAATGTTGGCCACTAATCTTCAGGTTAACGGATATTATTATTATTATTATCTTTTATACAATGTACACAAAACTCTGTCCCCACAAACTTAAACACTGACCCACTTCAAATATCAAAATTGCCATCTATAATTAAATGCAGACTCTAGAACCAATTTAAAAACGTGACCACAATCTCATACATGTAACATTATTTGATGCTTACCAGTTACTAATTAGCCGCGATAGATGGGGTATTGGATACTGTTGGAATTTTTTATTTTTATTTTTTATTTTTTTTTATGTGTAACAATGACAAGAGAATGCATAAAAATATCATAAAATTAAAGAAAAATTACACAAATTTTATTTAATTTATTCAATTTCTCTTGTATATATTTATAAGAATATTTATTATCTCAAAATATGTTATATATACAAAAATTCTCCTTAATTTTGTGAATGAAATTTAAAAAATAAAAATATTTTTTCTCAAATTTTATAAGTGAAACTTGAAATCTTCATTCTTCATAAATTTTATGGTTCCTTCTTAAGTTTTGTAGATAAAACTTTTAACACAAGTTTTATAAAGAAACTTGATAAATTCTCCTCTTGACACATCCTTTTCTCATTTAAGGTGATAACTTTCTTTTTCTTTACAGTTGAAAATATGTTCCATTTCAAAAGCTTTTATCTATTAACATAATATTTTAATTTTAAAAGAGAAAATAAATCTTTAAAATAAATATGATATATTTTAATTTTAAATAATATTCTAAAAAAAATAGTATCATTTAAAGTCTAAAGTATCTTAGAAATTTAAATTTAAAAAATTGAATTGTTTTTCTAAGATATACCGGTACAAATTGATCAGCGACTTAAACATTTGCATATGTTTTTTTAAGGATGACTATTATTAATATATCGTTCGTAGCAAAACAGGATTTGAATCCTTTATGCACATGGTTAGAAAATTGTTCTGTGAATGTTTCAAACAAACAGACAAAAAGTAATGAAATGTGTGTTCGAAAACATTATTCCACTGTAGAGAAGATGAGATATAGTTGAAGAGAACGAAAATTCTACTAGATAAATGAAAAGTTGTAATTTCAAGATGATAGCATAAGTCTTTATACAGGCTAGCTAACCGCTGATCACTTACTATATCTCTAATAGTTGTTGCAAGGTGGAAA